GGAGTATTAGGAACAGGATTGGGAGTCCTAAATGGAATAAACTCAGAGATACTAATGAATGAATTAGCCACATATTAGCTACAGACCTAACAGATTTGAAGCAGCCCCTGCAATCTTCTCTCCTAGAGTTAGGAAATGGCCAGTGGCAGATTTTAAAAGYATGAGTAGATTTTGCAAAGGCCAACAGCCACGATCATAAACTCATGACAGATGCCCTTGGTGCAGTCCAGTTCAACATTTCATTGGCCCCTCTGCCCCCATTTCTTAGCTCAACCTGCGCCCAAGTTGTGGCTTCCTTCAGTGGACCTGCAGATCTGGGAAAAGCTCAACTATGGCTCCTCCATAGGATATTGCTCTCACAACTCTCCTGACCTCCCTCACCTCTCCCCCTTTCATTTCCTCCTCCAGACAAAATAGCAGATGAGGCACAAGCCAAGGAGTTCCTGTCCGAGTACAACAGCACGGCGGAGGAGGTGTGGAATGCCTACACCGAGGCATCCTGGGCCTACAACACCAACATCACCGAGCACAACAAGAAGATCATGGTATGGGGACAGCCCTGGGGAGGCAGCTGGTACCCAGGGCATGTTTCAAAGGAGCTCTGAAAACTCATAGAGGAGTAACGTTCTCACCCAGGAGGTTCCTTCTCCATGAAAAACATCATGAGGCGCCCAAAAAACGCAGCTGTGGGGAGGGTGACAATCATGGGGTGTTTCTAGAGGTAGCCTGTGTCTTCTCCTCAGAGTAACTCCTCTATTTTCTCTGCAGCTGGAAAAGAACTTGGCCATGTCCAAGCACACCTTGGAGTACGGCGTCAGGGCCAGGCAGTTCGACACCTCCGACTTCCAGGACCAAAGTGTCACCCGCATCCTCAAGAAGCTGAGCATCATCGAGAGGGCAGCGCTGCCCCAGGATGAGCTGGAGGAGGTGAGTGGCGAGGGGCCATCGCCCTGTGTGAAGCTTCTCTCAGAATTTAAGAAGTGCCACTGGGCAGCCAGTCTGCCTTGATAAAGGTGATAGCTTGGTGCTCTTCTCAAAGCCAAAATGCTTGTCTTCAGGGTTTCCCACCCAAARGGTGCCCATCCTGGGCTGCAGCTGGGCCATTTGGGTGACAATGGCACATTTCTTGTTGGCCCCAGGATCTCTTGTATTGACCCCATGTTGCCTCCATTGGGGTCACACTCGGTTTTGGGAAGGACCAGAGTAAAACACCCAAAAACACCTCAGTGGGATGGAGCATTATCACATCTCCAGTGTCAGCAGCGAGGATAACCAGTTTCCAATCTCTGATTTCCCTGGCAGTATAACACCCTCCTCTCAGACATGGAGACCGTGTACAGCGTGGCCAAGGTGTGCAGAGAGAACAAAACCTGCCACCCCCTGGATCCTGGTAAGATCTAACAGGGCGTCCTGTGGGGCCAGGAGAGGGGGATTTTTTTTAAATGGGGCACGAAGAAAGGCCGTGAAGGGTTCTCTCACCTGCTCTGTGATGGCCACTGAGCATCACACTGGGTGTAGAGCTATTCCATAAGTTCAGCCCATCCAACAGCACCAACATGGGTTCACTGCTCTGTTTTAGACCTCACGGACATMATGGCCACCTCTCGGGACTATGACGAGCTGCTCTTTGCCTGGAAGGGCTGGCGGGACGCCTCTGGGAAGAAGCTGAGGGAGAGCTACAAGCGATACGTGGAGCTGAGCAACAAGGCAGCCGTGCTCAATGGTCAGTGCTGTGACCCTAATCCCTTGTGGGTTGGGCTCCTCATCCAACTGGGGTCAAAATCMTAAGGGTGTGGAGGTCCCACCAGCTCCCAGGAGATCTGTTTTGTCACAGATATGGAGAATGTCTGAACAGCAGGACAGACTCTCCGAGGAAGCACCTGTGCCTGACAGCTTCTTCTCTTGCCTTGCCACAGGCTACARAGACAACGGGGCCTACTGGAGATCCCTGTATGAGACACCCACCTTCGAGGAAGATCTGGAGAGGCTGTACGAGCARCTGCAGCCCCTGTACCTCAACCTGCACGCTTACGTGCGCCGAGCSCTCTACAAAAAATACGGCGCAGAGCACGTGAACCTGAAGGCTCCCATCCCTGCCCATCTGCTGGGTAAGGGTTTTTCTTGAGTTAACATCAGCTCTCAGCAGGTGTGGCTGGCTCTGAGCCACGCCAAGGGKGAAGAATGGGCTCTGTTCAGCTCTGGCTGAAAGGAAAAGGTCCCCTGGTGTGAGTTTTTGGAGGACAATCTGTCCCGGGGAAGGGGAGATGCTCTACGTGACCTCTCCTGCATGGATGGGATCCTGCCACGTTGGATTTGTGCAGGCAGGGCAGGGGCCAGACAGGACATGGCAGGGTGATTCTGTGCAGGAGGGAGTTTCTGATTGTTCTCCTCTCCCTTTCTCCCTCCTGACACGTGCCATCCTTCTGTTCTTCCCAGGCAACATGTGGGCTCAGTCGTGGTCCAACATTTTCGACCTGGTGATACCTTTCCCAGATGCCACCAAGGTGGATGCCACCCCAGCCATGAAAAAACAGGTCAGTGCTTCTCCAGGCTGCTCTGGAGAATTCCCTCAAGATCCAGACGCCTTTGGCTGCCAARTGCTCCAGTGCTGCCAAAAAAATTTGTGCCTCATCTGTATTTTCTCCCTGCCTTTCTATGCCAAGACCTGGATCCAGGGTCTTGATGACTGGATCTTGATTTTGATCTTGATCTTGACCTTGATCCAGGGTCTTGATGGCTGGATCTTGATTTTGATCTTGATCTTGATCTTGACCTTGATCCAGGGTCTTGATGGCTGGATCTTGATTTTGATCTTGATCTTGATCTTGACCTTGATCCAGGGTCTTGATGACTGGATATTGATCTTGATCTTGATCTTGATCTTGACCTTGATCCAGGGTTTTGATCCAGGATCTAGCTGACTCCAGAAGATCCCCCTGCCCTGAGCAAGGCTCCTGCAATCATTCCCAGCACCTCAGCATCCTCACCAGGGCTCTGCTCTCTCCCCAGGGCTGGACGCCCAAGAGAATGTTTGAAGAGTCCGACCGTTTCTTCACCTCGCTGGGGCTCATCCCGATGCCGCAGGAGTTCTGGGACAAGTCCATGATCGAGAAGCCGTCGGACGGGCGGGAGGTGGTGTGCCACGCCTCGGCCTGGGATTTCTACAACCGCAAGGACTTCAGGTGCCCACAGGGAGCAGGTGGTGGCCACAGCTGGGGTGGTGCTGTGGTGGCCCTGACGCCTTTGGGTCACAATAAGGGCACGTGGGGTTTTTTTGTGTATTTTGCTCTGTGGCACTTTCTTTGGTACATAAAGTGCTGAAAGGAGCCGCCGTGGTGGATGGAGGGCAATCCCTGCCTGCCATGACTTGTTTTGGAGAGTGGAAAAGCTGCTCAACAGGGACAGGGGATGGGCAGTGTCACAGGAGATGAAGGAGAAGGAAGAGAACAACTCCACAGAGAAGAGGGCCAGACTGGCCTGGTGTCAGATGTGGGGTGGGGATACAGGAAAGGAGAAGGGGAAGGAAGAGGAAGAGGAAGAGGAAGAGGAAGAGGAAGAGGAAGAGGAAGAGGAAGAGGAAGAAAAAAGAAGGAGAAGGAAAAGGAAAATGAAGAAAAAAGGAAGAGGAAGAGGAAGAGGAAGAGGAAGAGGAAGAGGAAGAAGGGAAAGGGAAAAGAAGGAAAGGGAAAAATAGCTCGAGGGGATGTGATGGTTCCCAGAGGTTTTCACCATGGCCCTCCCTTGTCCCCCAACCCCTTTGTCCCATCCAGGATCAAGCAGTGCACCGTGGTGAACATGGACGACCTCATCACAGTCCACCACGAGATGGGCCACGTGCAGTACTTCCTGCAGTACAAGGACCAGCCCGTGTCCTTCCGCGACGGGGCCAACCCAGGGTTCCACGAGGCTGTCGGGGACGTCTTGGCCTTGTCTGTCTCCACCCCCAAACACCTGCACAGCATCAACCTGCTGGACCAGGTCACGGAAAACGAAGGTGGGCTGGGAACAGCTGGAAATGCAGGTGGTCAGGAGGGGCTGGGCAGGGTGAAAAGACTTGGGAACACACACGGTGGCTTTGCACCCATGGAGGGGACAAGAGCTGTTGGGAACACTCAGCTCTGGGGCAGAATAGAGGGAGGAGAGGTGGGTATGGCACTGCCATGCTGATATCTTCATGCTCTGGGCAGAAAGTGATATTAATTACCTGATGAGCATCGCCCTGGACAAAATCGCCTTCCTGCCCTTCGGGTACCTCATGGACCAGTGGCGCTGGAAGGTGTTTGACGGGCGGATCAAGGAGGACGAGTACAACAAGGAATGGTGGAACCTCAGGTAGGATTGAATTCAGACCCTTCTCTGGGGCAAGGGCCTTGGCTCTCACCCCAAATGGGGTTTTTCTCCTTGTGGTCCAGTTGACTGCAATGGGAAGGATGGGAGAACACCCCCTCCCTCTGTCCTCACACCCCATGATTTTCCTCCCCACCTCACCCCACCTCGTCCTCCCCAAGCTGGCCTAACTGTCCCTCTCTGGCCCAGGATGAAGTACCAGGGCTTGTGCCCACCAGCAGTGAGGTCTGAAGAGGACTTTGACCCCGGGGCAAAGTTTCACATCCCTGCCAATGTCCCCTACATCAGGTGAGCCAGCAGGGCTGGGGCACGAGGGRTATCGCTCGCACACATGAGCAGGATCCCCGGTTCAGATGCCAGCGGKGACACATTTTCATGGCTGGAGGGACCTTTTTTCAGGCTCTGGGGACCCTGACAGAGCTTCAGAGGATAATTCTGTATTTGGGGGAATTTCTCTCTAKCTGAGGAAGATGAGCTCATCCACTCTGACAAACATAAAGCACATTCTGGTAGAAATGGCCTTTGCAGGGCTGAAGCAGGTGCAGCTCCAAAGCCACTGATGCTCCTCCAGACCAAGAAGGAGCACCCAGAGGATGAGGGGGATCATGGCCTCTCTTACACAGGGTCCATTCCCATCTCTTCATCCCTCTCCACCAGGTACTTCGTCAGCTTTGTGATCCAGTTCCAGTTCCACCAGGCACTCTGTGATGCAGCCGGGCAYAAGGGTGCCCTGCACACCTGTGACATCTACCAGTCCCAGAAGGCTGGGAAGATCTTGGGGTAGGTGTGTGGACACGGCAAAGCCAAGGCATCGATGGCCCCAAAGACCTTGAAGCCAACCCGGCAAGGCAGGAGGGAGCACAGCCCCTGGTCATCCCATCCCATCCCATCCCATGGATCCCATCCCATCCCATGGATCCTGTCCCATCCCATGGATCCCATCCCATGGATCCCGTCCCATCCCATCCCATCCCATGGATCCCATCCCATCCCACTGATCCCATCCCATCCCCGGGCCGGGAGCTGGGGCTGTGATTGCCGAAGCAGCCACTAGATGGTAGCTGGGCCCCTGGCAGGGGGAAGGCTCTCTACTCCTCCTCCTCCTCCTCCTCCTCCTCCTCTTCCTCCTCCTCCCAGCCCCCAGTTCCTCAGGGAAAACAGCCCCCTTGCTTCAAGAAAAGCACCTGCAGAATTAACCCTTTCACCCAGGGACTGCTCTGCATCAGGCTGGATTCTCTAGGGGGGTTTAATCCATGCAAACCCCTCTTTTCCCCCGAGATAATCATCCTTCCCTGTGCTCTGGGGGTACAGGATTACACACAGGGGATCCTGACATCAGGAACCCTGAGGGAAAGGGAGGGTGTGGCAGCCAAGAGGGTGATGGGGACCGCACTGGAGCTGATTTCTCCTGCTGCAGGGATGCCCTGAAGCTGGGTTTCAGCAAACCGTGGCCTGAGGCCATGCAGCTCATCACGGGGCAGCCCAACATGTCAGCAGAGGCCCTGATGAGCTACTTCGAGCCACTCATGAAGTGGCTGGAGAAGGAGAACCAGAAGAACGGAGAGGTCCTGGGCTGGCCCGAGTACAGCTGGACTCCTTACACAGGTATGCAGGGCCCTGCAGGTCCGTGAGGGGCCAGGGCTGGGATGAGGTGGAGCTCTCTTGGTGCCCCTTGGCCATCCCAAAAATCATGGGGTGTTGGATGCTTCTCCTTGATTCCTCGTGGAGCTGAATCCAAAGGGCATCTGAGACACCAACATGGATCCCATCCCATCCCATGGATCCCATC